TGCTGGTCTGTGGAAAGGAACAGTTAATATTTAATTTTTTTCTTTTTTTGTTTTTTATCTCTTCTTAATTTCTTTTTCAAGTTTTACACAAATATATCTAGTAATCTGAACAACTAATCTGAAGACAGCACTATGTAAGACAACAAATACTATCCAATTCATATTATTTTGTTTAGCGAAATTCTGCATCATTTCTAATTTTTGTTTTTATTACTATTAAGTATTCATTTTGTTTTATTTTTAATGTGTTTGGTACAGGGTCTCACTATGCAGCTCAGACTTGTAGTGATCCTCCTGTTTCCAGCCTCCCCAGCACTGGGATAACAGATGTGCATCATCATGCCCGGTCTCAGTGGCCGGTTCAGCATGCCCGGAGGCACACTTGGCGCAGCATGTAGTGCAGAGGATCAAACTTTGGTCCCTGCACTTGCCTAAGCAGGCTTGTTGGCTCTGTATTTTCTTAAGAAAGAAAGAAAGAAAGAAAGAAAGAAAGAAAGAAAGAAAGAAAGATTATCCATAATGAAGTATTACTCTGCCATACACAATGATAAACATGAATCATTTGTAGGAAAACGAATGCATCTTTTTTTATTTTTATTTATTTATTTTTTTATTTTGGCAGGACCAGGGATGAAACTCAGGACTTTGCATTTGCCAGGCAACGAATGCATCTTAACAACCATAATGTTAAGCAAAATAAATCAGAAACATAAACTTAAATATTGTATAGTTTCTCTTATATGAGAAACCCAACTACAAATAAATTTAAAAAGTAAAAAGTTACATAATAGGAAACAGGAACGTACGTCTTTTCCAAATGGGAAGGGAACCAAGAAACAGAGGGCAGGTGGATGGAAGGGAAGGGAAGGGAAGGAGATGTGAAAAGAATTAGTATGTGGTAGGCATATGTAATCATTACGAATTTCAAACATGTAATACTAGAAACAATTTTTAAAAATGAGATCTCATTTACCTTTTGGCAATCTTCTTGAGTGCAAAGGACTGACATCTGTTATTCCATGAGGGTAGATGTTATAAGGTCTGCTGGCATGATTCTTAAATATAATCTGAAAGTATAAATGAGATATAGGATCAAATCCTAGAACAACTAGGACCATGAAGAAAACTGTAGCCTATCCCCAAAAAACCAAATGCTGCCTGCACTTGCATTACAGGAGTTTAAGCCTAGCTAACGTTCAAAACGTTTGCTCTTGCCATGAAATTATTTAGACAGCTACTCAGGTTTCTTACTAAAGGCCTCTTTCCATTTCTTTAATTTCAATTGCTTCTGAAAGTTTTTGCTGTGCCTTCTCACAGGAACTGAGAGGACACTGTTCCCTCTCAGGCTTTTCCATTATTTGGGTCCTCAATTCCCTACAAGAAGAGAGGCCAATAGGGATTCCAGTGGTAAAGTAAGAAGCATGGGGGCTGGGGAGATAGCTTCGTGGTCTAAACGCCTGCCTGACAAGTGCAAGAACCCAAGTTTGATCCCTGGTACTGCATGCCGTGCTGGCCCTGGAACCCCAAGCACGCTGTGCCAGTCCCAAAACCAGGCATGGTGGCACAAGCCTGTAATCCCAGTGCTGGGGAGGCTGACACAGTACAAGTCCCAGTTGCCTAGCGAGAACCCATACCAAATAAATAAATATATGCTTTAAAAAGAAAAATATAAGAAGCATGACTAGGAGGGCAGTTGATGACTGCATCAAATGGTCAAGGACGGGAGGATTTTACATGGATGCAAAGACTTCAAAGGGAAGGAAGGAAGACAGGATGTGGGGACAGCAAGGAAGACCCAGAAGGTGTTAATCCTTCCTCTGTATTTGAGCTGTTTGATATGAGAATGAAAAATTCAGTTCTACTTGCACTCTTGTCTTAAAATCCACTCATTTGATAAGTGCACCCACCGTCCTATTTCTTATAGAACAGCTATTTATTTATGTATGCTTGTGGTGCTGGGGATTTACTCCAGGGCCTCACACATGCTACTGAAGTGTCTTACCACTGACCTACATCCCCAGCCCATTACAGTCTTATTTGTTACCTTCCAATATCAAAGTGTTCTTTTTCTTTTCTCCTCAGAACACTTGCTGCTATTTCCAGTATAGCATTAAATAGAGGTGCCTCTGTCTTGTCCAAACCTTACGCAGGTTTTTGAATTTCACCAAGATGATTATTCCCCTGTAATACTCCACATTTTAACTTTTCTATTTCTTGAATTGGTTTAAACTGCCAACAAAATGAAAATTCTTGCAGGATTAATGATGATTCTCATTCAATACATTAAAGATGTGATTTTACTGTCTTGTGGCTTCCTTTGTTAAACTGGAGATGTACGCTGTCAGTCTGGGACTGATTCTCAAATTCTTTGCTGCACCTTCTATCACAAAGTGGACTAAATTTCCCCTCTTACAAAGAAAATAAACCCACATTCACTTAAACCATTGTTCATTGAGTATTCTGTTAGCCTGCCCCTTAAAGATTCTCAATACCCTACGTCAGGAGTAAGCAAACATTTTCTGGAAAGGGCTGGCAAGTAGACACCCTAGGCTTTATCACATATCCTCCACCCTCTTCCCCTGCCTTCTTTTCTCTGCAACACTTTAAAACTGAAAAGTCCCTTTTAATCCCACAAACTGTCCAAAAGTGTACCACAACTGAATTTAGTTCACAAATTGTAGGGTTCTGACTCCCATACTATATAAAAAACAAAGAAAAAATGTTCTCGAAGGATATCTATCAAGGTCTAAGCAGTACAAAACTCAAAAGAATGATGGGTTTATAGGATGACATTGACTTTTACCCTATATATGCATTTAAAAATATATAATATTTATTTCTGTAGCATTTATAATTTGGGGGGATCTTATTTTTTTAACGTATTTGCTACAGGGTCTTACTACACAGTTTGGACTCATACTGATCCTCCTGTTTTCAGCCTCCCCAGTGGTGAGATTACAGCAGGCATGCACCACCACGCCAGGTCTTGGCCGGTTCAGCATGCCCAGGGGTGGGGATCGAACCATGGTCCCTACACTTGCCTAAGCAGTCTCTTAGTCCACTGAGCTATCTCAGTGGTCCTTGTAATTTTAAAAGATAGTATACATTGGAAACAAGCTGAATTATGAAATATTGTAGAAATCCAAAACCAGGCCGGGGAGATAGCTCAGTGGCATAAGCGCTTGCCTAGCAAATGCAAGGTCCTGAGTTCAATCTGCAGTACAAAAGCAAGCAAGCAAACAAGCAAGCAAGCAGGCAGGCAGGCAGGCAGGCAGGCAGGCAGGCAGGCAGGCAGGCAGGCAAGCAAGCAAGCAAGCAAGCAAGAAAGAAGAAAACCAAAATCTCCAGACTTGACTTTTACCTAATCCCAAGTCTTTTTCTTAACTTACCAACAGTGTGTCTCCAACTTCACCATAAAGTAGAGGTCCCAGAATTCCTGATTCATATTGTCTAATTTCCCGGGTCTTAAAGGTCTCGTTTGTGTATGCCACAAATTGGACTTTTTTATACTTCCTACCAATTCGCTCAGGACCATTGTTTAAATACTGACTTTTATAACTTCTGTTTGAGACACAAAAATATAAAGCATTGTGACAGAAAATTGTAGATATACCAAAAAATTCAGTCCTAAACAGCTCATGTGATTTCATGCAGGCAAGGAATGAGAAAAATAAAGCACAAGCATATGTGACACTTCACTGTGGTGGTCTCCAAATACGTTAGTGACTGTCACTGCAGTTTTCAGTGTCCCCCACAGACCGTGTGATGGAGGTGTGGTTCCCAGCCCGGGCTTGTATTAGTATTAGGAGGTGGTGGAACCTTTAACAGGTGAACTGAGTGGAAGGAAGTCAGCTCACTGAGGGGTACACCCCTGAAGAGGCTCTCTGCACACCTGGATGCTTTTACTTTCTCTTGCTGTTTGCTCACCTGGCCCCAAATATGCTCCCACCAAGATGTTCTGCCTCAATATGAACCCAAAGTAAAGTGGCCAAAGTAACCACAGACTGAGACCTCTGAAACCATGAGGCAAAATCAACTTTCCTCCTGGAAGCTTTTATCTTAGTTCTGGTTTTGGTTTTGGTTTGGCTTTTGCCATACTGCCAGAACGCTGACTAACACAATGCTCTTGCCATTTGATTTCTTACCCGTACTAACCCTCAAACACAGCCTAAGGAATTCATGTGAGTAACTGACAAGGGCATTTTGGGTATGGACAAGAGGAGTAGCAAGACTGGAAGGGTGTCTACCTGTCATCAGTGGTGTGGACTGAAGGGGCATAGTCCCAGTCCTGTTCCTCAGCAGCAATATAATGTATCCACGTTTTAGGGTGTTTCTTGGCAGCAGAGCGAAGGTGCATGAAGGGAGAGTGGTCATCATCAAACCTAACCACATCCATTTCAGAATCAAGATCATCATCATAATCATAGCCTTCCTCCTCTTCTTCCTTTTTCATCCGTAGTTGGGGCTCCTCCACACAGCTGTCCACTTTTACATAAGCTTCCATGCCAGCTAGAGTCAGGCAAATGAACAGGGTCAGACTCCATGCAGCCCTTCACACCTTGACCTCCATGACTTCGTTTTGTTTTCCTAGGCTTTCAAGCCTGCCCTAAGTGCCCCTCTTTCCACATCAGTGCTCCCCTCAGCCACACTTATATATGCATTTCTTCTCATATAGATTCCCTGGTATGGCTGGTTTCTTCCTCTGGTCTTTTCCATGTTCCTTTTGCTGGAGTGTCCCTATATGTTTTGGGCCTTTTTTGGAAATTCAGCAATGTGCTCTAGTAATACATAAATGAATATTTCCCTCTTAAAACTGGCTTTGAGCCTATCAAAATAAAAATGGAGACCATATTTTTCCTGATAAACTGTTATTAAATTAGAGATTTGTATGGCAATCCACTGAAGTAAGCTCAGAAATCATTAGATGCCTGTGGAGATGGGGAATTAATCTGCCCTAGGCTCTCTCATGTTGAAAATAAAATGTATCTTCACTACAACCTGTAGTCCTTATTTCCATAGTATTGAAGCATAGTTAATGGACCAGGTAAGAAAACCAATGGCATACTGTCCTCCCTCATTTCCCCATCTCACTTATCCTTAAACCACCTCTCTTCTCTCACTGACATTGAACTAGAAATCCACCCATACTATCAATACTCAAATCCTCTTACATTCCAGGAAAATCTTTACCCTGGATGCTAGCAACGAGGGAGTCTTCCTTGAAGTCTAACATAATTCTATCATGGCACCTCTTGCAACACACTATATTCTCACAGTGTCCAGAAAATTCCATTAAAAATAACACTTATTTTTCAAGATATTACCATGTTGGTGGGAAGATATATGGCAAAACAGTAAAAACTGTCCAAGGTCCATCAACAGTGTCTGAGCAGTCAGAAAAGTTATTGGTGATATCTCCAGGGAGGCCTGGCGATGGTTTCTCACAAGAAATGTGTGACCTTCAAAGAATATTGAATGTACTTCAGGGGTCGTGCCCACTCCAATCACATGCCAGTAGACGAATTTTCTGTGGCACCCAAGCAGACCTGTAAAATAGGAATAAGACGGCTATGGCTAGGAAGGAGAGCATTCGAAGTGGAAAACACTTGCTAGGGTCAGAAGGACAAATTAACCACGCAAGGTTTGTTAACTCATCAATGAACACACCAAGGACATTGAGGTTACTGTCAAACTGACAGCTCCCGCCCAGTGCACCACTGGTCACCATGCTGCTAAACTCAATGGGCATGCAGACCTCATCACCTCATTCTCCTCCAGATTTCCTTATTTCAGTGGATGGCCTCCTCCAAGAATGAATTATACAGGTGAGAATTTTTCTTGTCACTATTATCACCTCCCATATCCAATCTAGCACAAACTATGGCTGTTAACATCCTCAATGCTCAGTTCAGGTGCTACTTCTGGGAATCTAGTCTGGGGTAGATTCCTTTATTATGTGCTCCCATACAATTATGTAAACTTTCAGAGTAATTATTGGTTTATAATTTTACATTTATTATTAGGATTATTTGGTTATTATCAATCTAAAGATTAACTTCCTTTTAATTCTAAAAGTATGCATATTTACTGTGGAATTACCAGCATGAGTACAGAAAATAATTAAGAAGAAAAGACCCTGCTCATCCTTTCTCATTCTCTTGGTTTGCTCCATCTTCCAAATGCTTTCATGAGCTTTCTAGTTTTATTTCGGTATGTAGTCACTGGCCTCTAGGTCCTTCTATTTCTTTTTTTTTAATGCCCAGAATATATTTATTGACAGAAACAAAGCTCCTGTCCAAGAGAGGGACAGGAGGGGGGCCCGAGCGAGTTGTTCCTCCTAGGTCCTTCTATTTCTGAAAACTAAGTAATCTATTCCCAAAGCTGTTTTTTCATTTAGTTAAAAATTATAGGTCAAAAATAAACTTTCCAAAGGTCATACTTTCAAAACTGTTATACAGATTTACTGCAATGCTGATCAAAATACTAATAGCATACCCCAAATAATTAGAGAAAACAATCCCAAAAATTCATGTGAAACCAGAAGAGACCCAGAATAGCAAAAACAATTCTGGGCAACAAAGGCAAGGCAGGTGGCATCACAATCCGTGACTTGAAGTTACACTACAAAGCTTCGTGATAAAACCAGCATGGTACTGGTAAACAAAACAAAACAGACCTGAGGATCAGTGGAAGAGAACAGAGGATGCAGAAACAACTTGAAACCCATTCAGCTATCTTACGTTTTACAAAGGGTCCAAACCCATTCACTGGAAGAAAGATAGCCTCTGTAATAAATGGGACTGGGAAAACTGGCTCTGCACATGTCAAAGATTGAACCTAATGCATATCTAGCAGCATGTACTAAGCTAAAATAAAAATGGATCAAACATGTAAATATTAAAACATGGGGCTGGGGAGATGACTCAGTAGAATAAGCGCAAGGGCCTGAGTTCAGTCCCCGGTTCTGCCAAAAGATAAATAAATAAGTAAATAAAGAAATAAAACAGGCTGGGCATGGTGGTGCATGCCCATGATCCCAGCAGTCAGGAGGCTGAGGCAAGAGGATCACTGTGAGTTTGAGGCCAGCCTGGGATACACAGTGAGTTCAAGGCCAGCCTGAATTGCACAGTGAAACCCTGTCTCAAAAAGACAAATAACTAACTAACTAAATAAATATTAAACCAGAAATACTTAATCTGCTGGAAGACAGAATAGGTAAAATTCTCAAAGACACTGGTGCAGGAAAAGACTTTATGAACAAAACTCTGATTGCACAGAAATATTACAAAGAATCAATATCTGAGATCACATCAAATTAAAAAGCTTTGCACAGCAGAATAAAGCAGCAGTACAGTTAAGAGACAACCCAAAGTACAGGGGAAAATTTTTCCAGGTAATATTCAGACAAAGGACCAATATATAAAGCATGTAAAAAACTCAAAAAATTAGATCTCCCATATTTAAAGATCCAATCGAAAAATGGGCATCTGCAATAAGTAGACACTTCTCAGATGAAGAACCTGATTGATTGAGTGATTTTGCAGATTTGTTTTTATTGACTTGGATTTAGGGCATGGGATGGGCAACGTCACATTGGGGCACTCCCCACTCCTGCCCCCGGGAATGTCCATTCTAATGGTCCTGGGATGTTCTTTGAAGCTTTTTTTTTCCTTGGGGGTGTCCTTGTTGGCAGTGGCCTCCTCAGGCCCACTACTGACTGGCTCTTCCTTGGAAAAAAATTTTCTCCGATGAAGAACTTTACTTATTTATTTATTTATTTATTTACTGTCAGTCATCACTGGTATTTATTATGTAGCTGACACACATGCTCTGAGTAGTTCAACCCAAATCCAGGGAGAAATATAAGCAAGTTACAGTACTACGTAAGGCTTATGATAACAGTGTTTCCTGGAATTACATAATCCTTCTACCTAGTTCTTACCACAGGTAATTTCATGAATTCTGAATATCAGAACCTACAGCCTAGTCTAAAGATCATACGGTATGTATAAAAAGGTACACATTGGGTTTATCCGCAATGACTAAGGAGTTCAGGGGTATTTTCGCCCGGAGCAGTGGTGAGCGGCTTCTCTTCCACCGTGTAGCACTGTTAGACTTGTTATCTTGAGTCGTGTGTGCCGCAGAGCGCAGACGGCCCGCGGAAGGCGCTTCACGCCAGCTCACTCTGGTGCCGCTTCACTCTTCAGTCGATTTCACTCTCTCTCACACGCTCCTTCGCTCATGAGCTCATCTCGCTCGGAAGGGTCACTCACTGTCGTCTTGATCAGCCAGCCGTCTTCATAACAAGGTTTGTTGGCGGGCCCTGGGTTTTCTGCAAGTGCTTCATTAATCTCAGTGACTTCTGATAGAGGAGAGCGGAGTTCACCGGCAGCTTTCACGCTTTCCAAAGCACCAAACTCATCATGCTTTTTCAACTTCGTCCCAACTTCAGGCAGACTACAGTAAACAACATCTCCCAAAGCTTCCTGTGCAAGGCTGCTGATTCCCACTGTTCCAGCACCATTTTCTGTTGTTACCCACTCATGTTTCTCTGTGAATTTACGCACCGCGAGCGCAGTCGCTCCGGTGCGCAGGGTCCGCACGGCGCCGGCCCGCAGCCGCCAGGGCCGAGTCAGGCAGGGCGCGGACGGCACCGGGACTGTGCGCAGGCTGCAGGCTGCGGCGCACACGCTCCGGGCCACTGCCAGCGCCATGTTCGCAGGGCCTCCGAAGGTCGCCGTGCAGCGCCTGGGCCACCCAGATGAAGAACTTTAAATGACAAATAAATATACGAAAAACTGTTCAGCATCACTGGTCGTTTGAGAAAAACAAATTAAAACAACACTGAGATTCCATCTCACTCCAGAAAGAATAGCTGTCATCAAAAAAATCCAACATAGGGAGATGGCTCAGTGGAATAAGCACTTCCCTGGCAAGTGCAAGGGCCTGAGTTCAATCCCCAGATCTGCCAAAACAAAAACAAACAAAAACAAACAAAAAAAATCCAACAATATCAAATGCTACAGGGGCTCTGAGGAAAAAGGGAACCCTTCCAACATGGAAAGCAGTATGGAGATTCTTCAAAAAACTGGAGAAATCCATTTGGCCCAGGTACTCCCCTTCTAGGTATCTTTCCAGAAGAATTCAGACCATCATACCACAGTAATATATGTACACACATGTTCATGGTGCCTGGGCATAAAGTTGAAAGATTTCTAGGTAAGTGGATGCATCTCAACATCACAATGCTAAGTAGAATAAATGAGAAACTCATGCTTAAATATTGTATTGCTTCTGTTGCATGACAAACTCAGAGGATAAATTTGGACCAAAATGGAGGACAGATACTGGGAACTAGGAAGAACATGTTCAAATGGGAAGGGGAGCAAGCGAAGGGTTGGGGGAAGGAAAATAAGGGAGTAGGGATTTTAAAAAGAATGGAAGGAACACATTGGAAACAAAGTTTTGTCTATAGGGAAAGGCTGAAGGGAAGAGAGGAAAATGGGAAAAAGAATTAAGACATATTAATGTTCAGGTACACATTCCCTATGATGGATGTGATTGCTCTGTACAGCAAATACGTATGAATACAAATTAATACAAAAATCAAACTGCTGTCTGGGGATTTCGCTCAGTGGTGTAGCACCTGCCTGGCAAGCGTGAGGTTCTGAGTTCGATTCCAAATATTCTCCCCCAAAAAATCAAATTGCCAAAAATATAATTAAAACAAAAAATCTTTGCCTTGGAACTTTTAAGATACTGCTGCATTACATTGTCAGTCCTATTTTTAGTCTTTCACACATGACTTGTTTCTCCCAGAAAGAGGTTTATGCCTTGTCTTTGTACGCTGAAATAACACAGGTATAATTTTGTATGGGGTTCCTATCTTTTTTCTCTTTTGCAATGTTTTTAAAGACTTGATGACAAAATTACATAAGATAACAACGTTTTTATTCTGATATGTAATTTTCAGTAAGAAGACTTGTATCTATTATTTCTTAACATTTTTATTTTGGGGATCGGGGAGATGGCTTAGTGGAATAAGCGCTTCCCTGGCAAGGGCAAGGGCCTGAGTTCAGTCCTCGGTTCCACCAAAAAAGTTTTTTTTCTTTTATTTTGTCATTTAAGCTTATTTTAAAAAATATTCTCACCATTTCTTTTTGTTTGACTTTATGGAACATTTTCCCTACCTTCTTTCTATTTTTATGAGCATTTTTTTCTGATTGGTTTTGTAGGATCCTGTTCGTACTTTATTGATGCCACATCTTGCATAGTTGTGAAAATAAGCTCTGGCAAGTTCTCTTCTGTTCTTAGCATTATCTCTTTCTCTTCTAGGATTATTTTTCAGTTATTGTTATATTTATCTTTCCACAGACTTAACTTTAAATGTATGTTCAGCCTTGATTGCCCATGCATATTTAAGCAAGAGGATAGAGAAATCTGGTTGAGAGTCCTGCGTACACGAGCAGGCCTTCATTTTCAGGTGACCTTCAGAACACTGAGGGCCAGAAGTCCGTGCGCTTTCTATTAGGATGCAGAGCAGTCTGAGACCTGCAGAAGAGACCTCTAGTGTCGAACGCAGAAAAGCTGAGGACTGCGAAGCAGATGTGTGCATACCTGGCAGGGACCTGTTCACATAGCCATTGATTGTGTGCATCTTAGGCCAGGTGCCAGCGGATGCAGAATCTGAAGCCTGTGGCATCGGGCCCTTTGTTTCTGAGTGCCAACTCTTCCCTGATGACAGAGAAAGAAAAACAAGAGTCAATGAAGCTCTGAGTCATGGGTGAGCAGCCCCTCCCGTTCGGTACGGTTCAGATCTGAAATGCCCTCCAAAGGCTCATGCACAGAAGCTTTGGTCCCCAGTGCAGCCATGTTCAGAGCTGAGGCTTGCGGAAAATGACCGGATCACGGGGGCTCAGAGCGCATCAGTAGACTGATACATGATAGGTTCATAATTGAGAAACAGTGGACACTGTAGGAGACAGGGTCCGGTTGGAGGAAGTAGGTCCCTGGAGATAGAACCAGGAAGGGACTATCTTGTCCCTAGACCTTCGTTCTCCTTCCTGGCCACCATGAGGTGGGCAGCTTTGCTCTTCTATCCACCATGTTGTTCCCATCTCTTCATAGGCCAACATGGACCAAAACTGTAAGACAAAATAAATCTTTCCCCCTTTAAGTTTTTTTCAGGTATTTTTCAGCAACAGAAAACTAACATACCTCCCTTTGGACACTGAGAGCATTTTGGTCAGCAAAGTAGGCAGATGACTTATTCTCTCAAACTAAGTGAGAAGGAGAAGACACTATGAAAGGTAGACATTTCTTGCTTACACTGATTTTATCTCCTTATATTTGTTTATGAATATAGCAGAGAGAAATAATGATAAATGATAACTCGGGGAAAGAAGAATATTGGTTAGTTTTAACCATAAGGATTTCATTATACCTAGAAGATGATTTATTTAGTATTTGTGCTGTCAAAGCAAGCATTTAGCTGATTTATTTAAAAGGAAATGAACATCACTCGCAGAAAAGGGCCATGGGTCCTTATCACTGTCATACTGCTTCACTGCTGTACTTCTAGAAATGAAGTCCCAGATGCTGAAAGCATCTTCTGTGAAGTTACTAAGAGCTAGAGCACTGGAAGTCCCTCTGGCTGTTACACTAACAATGGAGTGTTAGGACCCCAGAGAGACTGGGAGACTAGTCAGGAGAAACATGATGGGAGCCTCAATTACAAAACTGGAGTGGAGGTGGGTGAGGGGAGAGGAGGGCACCATTTTGTCATGGTTACTGATCACCTTAGAAGGAACTGCTAGAAGTTCTAACACTATTGATGGTCCACTCTGTGTTTAAGGTACTGAAGTGAAATCACCTAAATCCTACAATGATCCCGTGAAAAAATACTATTATGTCACTATTTGGTTTGACAAAACACACATAGAGAATTTAAGGAATTTGCCAGAGGTCACACATTTAGTAAGAGATGGAGATAAAAGAAGGTATTTAGAAGGTGCAGCCAGAAATCTTCATTGGTGGACTTAATGAAGGGAGCAAGACCAACCTATTCTCCAGCTTCTCTAGTTTCTTACCTCTTACTGGTGCCATGCTCTTTGATTCTTGGAACTAAGAGCTAAATACACATCTTTTCTTATAAAGTATGCAATCTCAGCTATTTTGTTATAACAGCCCAAAATGCACTAAGACAGACAGTGTCACAAAATATGCACATCTTACTTTCCTATCTTTAGGCTCTATCCTGAATAATAATATAGTTATCAATAATCACCTCCCCTCAGTAGAAACAACTCACAGTCTGGTACCATCTTAAGGTTTATACTCTACTTTTAGGAATCCAAAATCTAGACTAAACCTCACTAACCTTCATCAAATACAGCAAAAAGTAGCACGAATTGATGCATGTTCTGTGTCCTTTCTTTGGTCAGACTCCCTGAAAAAGAGGCAAAAACATCTTTTATTTTAAAATCTCATGATAGAAAACTGCCAGTAGGGGGAGACATTTCTTCATGAATGGGCAAAGAGTAAAAACCAAATGTAGTCCTTTACTGTTTGTTAACTTTTTTTTCCACCCCTGGAGATCGAACTCAAGACCTTGCACTTGCCAGGCAGGCACTGTGTTGCTGAGTTATATCCTTGATCCTATTTTTGTTGTTATTGTTTTAATGTAAGGCTTATTATTTCAGTATTTCTAAAATTATCTGGGGTAAAGGGTTTTTTAAAAAAAATTTAAATTTGTTTCAGATCATTACATGTTTTTTTTTTTTGAGACAGGGTCTCACTCTGCAGTTCAGGCTGGCCTTGAGCTCACTTTGTAGCCCAGGCTGGTCTGGAACTTGCAACGATCCTCCTGCCTCAGCCTCCTGAGTGCTGGAATTACAGGCATGGGCCACCACATCTGACAGATTATTACTTTTGTAAAATGTAATAAAAATGAATCACTAGAGATACCAGAACACACTCTCGCTCTCTGAAAAAGAAAAATTACAAATGTAATATACAATGTTAGTGGAAATAAGTGTGAAACAACATAGGAAGAGTCTATTAGTCTTACAACTTTTTATTTTACAATTTTAATTGAACAAAAGTTATGAATCAAATATAATTAAACACCAACACTCAGGGCCGATCAGATAGTTCAGCAGACTAAAGCACCTGCTTAGGCAGATGCAGGGACAGGGGTTATATCTGTGGCACCAGAACCATGCCAGCCCTGCCCCCGGAGCACGCTGAGACTGAGACTAAGACTGGTCATGGTGGCACACGCCTGTAATCCCAGCACTTGGGAGGCTGAAAATAGGAGTATCAGTAGGAGTCCAATCTGTGTAGTGAGACCCTGTACACCCTGTCGACCCTGTACTAAATACACTAAAAACCCCACCAACACTCATATTTGACATAAACATCATATATATTGGTATATAGTTTTTAATAGTACGAATGAGTTTGCGTCACGTTTAAGTTTTGGCTGTCTTTCTTAGCATTATATATCTTTATCTCATTGGAAAGTTTCACTTGAGGACTTATTTTGAATAAAATAGCAGGATTATTCTTTATGACTTTCTCCCTTTCCTCCTTTCTTGAACACTTTGTACATAGAAACAAAAATTATCTTGGGCAAGGAAAGTAGCAAAATGTGTGCTGCTACTCATATGGCCATGAAAAGGGACACAAAGCCAGCTGCTTCTCTCAGGGACGACCAACTACTGTACACACTTGCCAAACAACAATTCTTCAGCTGACTCTTGCAAATATTTTTTCTCAGTTTGTTGCTTGTTTTTTTCTTTTTCCTTGGTAGTTGCTTTTGTAAAACAAAATCTATTCATTTTGATGAGGTCTAATTTATCAAATATTTAATAGACTGTGTTTTAGTGTCCTTTTAGAGCTCTCTTCCTCTAGGTTATGAAGATTCTTATTCTATGTCCTAAAAGCTTTATGGCTCTACATGATACATTTTAGAAGTCAAATGCACTATTGTGCAACAAATATTGTATATTTTATATCCACAATCTATTTTAAGACAATCTTTGTGTTATGAATAAGGCTGAGATTAAGGTTCATCATTTGCATACGAATGTCCAATTTTGGAACATCATTTACTGAAGACACTATCCTCCCTCTACTGAATTATGTTTGCACAACAGAACCATTTCTGGACTGTCTACGGTGTTTTAATGACCAATGTTGTTTTCCAACTAACCAACATGTCGCAAAGACTGCAGCTGTGTGCTAAATTGTAAGACAGGATAAGGCAATTCTTTCAACTCTATTCTTTTGCCAAATATTTTTGGCAAGTATATCACTTTTATCTTCTGATATAAGTTATAGAATTAACTTATTTATACTGACAAAAATCAAGTTTATATTTTGATTGGAATTGCATTAAATCTGTGCAGTAAGGAGAACAGACCGCTACTATTTTGAATCTTGTAGTGCATAAACATAGTGTATTTCTACATTTATTTATGTTTTCTTTGCTTTCTTTTACTAAAACAAAACATTTATTTTTTTTTGTACATTTCACTACATGAGCACTATACATGTTTTGTTAGATGTATACCTAAATTTTCAATTTTAGAGACATTTTAAACACTATATTACAATTTTTGTTTGCAATAATTCTTTAGCAATATATAAAGTTGACTTTTGTGGGTTGCATATTCAGCAACCTTGCTAAACTCAGTTGTTAGTTATTGGAGGTTTTGTTTTTAAAGACTCCTGAGTTTTCTACATTGACAATAATATCTGGAAATAGGGACAATGTTGCTTCTTTCTTTCTACTGTATGTTTTTTTAATACTGTATTATCATACTGGCTGAGACTTTCAGTACAATATTGAATAGGAGTGGTTAGAATAGACATCCTTGCTGAGCGTGGTGGCACACACCTGTGATCCCAGCACTTGAGAGGTTGAGTCAGGAGGATCTCTGTGAGTTCAAGACCAGCCTGGGCTACAAAATAGGCTCAAGGCCAGTCTGAGCTGCATAACGAGACCTTGTCTCAAAAAGAAAAAATAATAAAAGAATATACATCCTTTCTTTGTTTCCAGTCTGAGAAGAAAAGCATTGTTTTCACCACTATGTTTGGTGTTGACTATAGGTTTTTTTGTACACACTATGAAACCAGGAAAGTTATCTACTACATCTAGTTGGCAGAGAGTTTTTGGCTGGGAGTTTTTAATCATTAGTTGATGATGTATTTTTTTTTCATAAAATATTTTTTTTATTTTTTCATAATTTTATTGATAAACAAATAGCAATGAGACAGTTTCAAATCAAATTGGTAGGACAGTTTCAATAATTAACACATTGCAT